TACTTAAAATATCTTCAAATATTGGTTGAAAAAAAGTGGTTTCCTCATTAATTAATAAATTAAAAGTAAATATTTCTTTTGGTGAACTGGTGTCTAATGGTAATTTCACACTATATTGGTAGCTAAAAGAACTTTTGAATTTGCACGCATGCTTTGAAAAAGTAAAACAAATCTAACAATAGTCAAAGATGACAAGTGGAGAAACATCTAACTCACCCAATATTACACTCCGCAGATAGAACATGTATAGCAGCAACTCAAACTAATGACGTGCATCTCGTGAGTAAACTAAATTTTCTCGATGTCTTCTGATCCTTGCCCGGTAATTTCTTATTCACAATCAATACAACGCAGTGTCTTTACTGTATCAACCTGCGTCGAAATAAATAAATAAGTTAAAACCATTTCAAATTTTATATTTAACCGCTCATAAATATTTATTGAGTTTCTTTCCACGGACAAAAATATTTAATGTTTCAGTTTGTGCACCAGTGTATGAGACTCTGTAAATACTTCTGCTATGTATGGTTTCTCAATTCTATTCCTTTTCATTGTTTCTGTGATTATTAGTGTCAGTGAAGAAGCTATATTTTTTAACATGATGGAAAAATGGCTTTTGTTTGTTTGGAAAGTGAATTTTCAGAGTTAATACTGCAATTTTACGGACAAGTTATTACTTTTTGCTTCAAATGAATTGCGTGAGTTCAATTATGATTAATATTAGATTATATTTACATACATAATAATTATTATGTATACGAAATGTATACATTGCCGTGAATTCGTGTACATAATAAAATGGATGGTTTTAGATTTCAGCCCGTGATGACACGAAATATTTGGTCAACAATATTTATATTATAACTTGAAATAGACCTTAAGACCACTTTAGAGTAATTAAATTTTAAATAGTACTTCTTCTGTTTTTTATTATAAATCATTTTTTATTTTTCACACGTATTAAAAATTATAATAATTATAATATAAAAAATATATATATAAAGTTTTAAAAAATTGTATATTAGAAATACAATTTATATAATTAAAAGAAGAGAAAATATTAAATATTTAAAAGTTTATCGATATTATAAAATAATTTATATTATAATATAAAATATATTTTTAAAACGACTTATAATAAAAAAGAACGTAGATAATATATTTTATAAGAAATTTGAGTAACATAGATAATATATTTTACAAGAAATTTGAGTATAATTATCTGTTGAAAATTAGGTTGTTACACGGTTACAAAAGTTACTATTTCATAACGTTGCTATGTCATAAAGTTACTATATTATGTGCTTTTGGTGGGAAAAACTTGTATATGAGAATATATTTTTTATTCAAAGTCTTGTTTCAGTTTTTTCGAAGGTCTTGTGTTTATTAGTTATACTTTAATAAAAATAAATAAATAGAGATTTTATCTAACTATTGTTTTATCATTTACAAAATTTTATTTAATTATGAGTTAATTATAATAATTTGAGATCATGTACCGTATTGCACGTTCTCAACAACGGTTTTGAGTCTTAGGTTTTTATTTAGATAAGTATAAATAATTCTTATGTTATGATGGTTCCTTGTCCTACCTATGGGATATTAAAGTAGTTCTTCGTGGTTTTGATTTGATATCTGGCCTGCAAATCAACTCCTTCAAAAGAGTATTATACAATATACGAGTGAATGATTCTTTCTTGGTGGCAGCTGTGCACTTTTTGGCTTGCAAAAAGGAAACCATACATTTCAAATTCCTTGGTCTCACAATTGGTGGAAACCACAACCGCATCTCGTTTTGGTAGACATTTATCTCTTGCTTCAAGAACTGACTTTCAACTTAGAAATGGAGATTGCTCTATGTTGGGGGAAGGGTTTCTCTCATTAATTATGTATTGACGAACTTACCAATCCACCACTTCTCCTTCTTTAAAGTTCCTGCAAAAATCATTCACCAAATTATCTCTATTTAAAGAAAGTTTCTTTGGTCTAGTTGTGTCGAATCAAATGACATTTCTTGGATAAGTTGGAAATCTATCTGCAAACCTAAAGAGTTTGGTGGTTTAGGGATCAAATATTTTGGGCTCTTGAGTAAAGCACTTCTTTCCAAATGGCTATGGAGATGCATTAACAATCATGATGCTTTTTGGCGTGGAATTTTGGAAGCTCGCTATGGGAATATTCGTCGTATCATTTTGTTCAATGATGTTATGAGAATCTCACGTCTTGAATCTCTATGGTGGAAATATTTGTTGGTCATTGCTTTCCCTTTAAAAATTGGTGGTTTTTCATACAATTTACATTGTAGGCTGGGAGATGGAAGCCAGACATCATTCTGGTATTCTATCTGGCTCAACAGCAGCCAACTGTAATAGGGTTTTCCAAGTTTGTATGTTGCCACTTATAACAAACTTGCATCAGTTGCGGATATGGGAAAGTGGTTTAGAGCTAATTGGATTTGGGACCTTGGTGATAATTTGGGTGCGGCAACTTGCATGGAATTCGTTTTGAATACTGAACTTTCGGATCTTATGTCACTTCTGTTTGAAATTAAACCAACTCCAGGTATTGTTGATGCTTTCATTTGACCCTTGAATCATTATAAATGCTTTTCGGTGCTTTCTTCTTATAACTCCTTGCATAAATTTTTTGGTATGGCTGTGTTGGAAGAGAAACTCATGTTATCCGTTTCATTATTATGGTAAGCTAACATCTATTTGAAGGTGAAAATCTTTGGATGGAGAGTTTTGTTGGATAGACTTGCAACTCGTTCAAACCTCACTTTAAGAAATATCATTTCAAACCACCATGAATTAGTGTGTGTGTGTGTGTGTGTGTGTGTGTGTGTGTGTGTTCTGCTTTAATGCCAATGAAGACTCACATCACTTATTCATTTCATGTCTGCAGATCAAGCTTGTTTGGGAGAAAATTGGATCTTGGTTGAGAATTGTTGGTTTCACCGAGGCAAATGGTGTTGAGCATCTTCTAACTTGGTTCCTTCGTTTGTCGTCTTCTTCTTGTTCGACCTCTTTTGCTTGCTCTATTTGGTTCACGATTATTGGTGCATTTGGTGGATGCACAATCAAATTATTTTCAAAGACGCGATCGACGATTTAGTTGCCTTATTCGATAGAATTATTCTATTCTCATGGCGTTGGTTGGCTTTTGGTATCAACTTTAAGAGTAGGTGTTCATTTTATGATTGGTTAAAATGCCCTTTAAATTTCTTGTAATCTTATTTTCCTGTGCACTTTGATGGATTTCCCATGTGTACTTTTAGGTTTTGACACCCCTAGTGCCTCATTTATAGATTGCTCTTACTTATAAAAATAAAATAAAAAACAATTCTTATGTTGGATCATGTTCATGCAGAACTTTACTTTGACTTTAAATAAAACTCTCATAAGTAGACAGTGAGATTGATCTCATTAAATTAATCTACGTAAGATTGGATACCAAGGTTTAAAAAAAATTGTCAGAAATTGATGGAAATTTATATACCAAAATGGTTCTAAATAATTTATGGAATTTAGTTTCCAAGTTTTAGTTCAACTTAAAAAAATTAATAAATATGTGTAAATCTTTAATGATTATTATCACTTTGTTTACATATTTAAAAAAATTATGAGATTTAGTGAAAATAATTTTATAGTTTTTAATATATTGTATGAATATTATATTATTAAGTTATTTAAATGATTGAAAATTTTGAAATAATATAAAAAAGTTTAAGTGAGATCCATCTAAATAAATATGATGGGTGTGTGTGAGTGTGTGCTCTTAATTAGATATGTTTTACCATTTAACCATAATATTTTTCTCAGTTTTAGTTTAACTTTAAATAAAGGTTCCATCTAATATATGATTCCTAATAAAGTTTAATAAAATTGTTACAGATGGCATAATAAGTCATATTGAATGTGAGTAGTTACAACGCAGACTATAATCGATGTCTATTAAATTTCAAACCAATTGCTTAATCAACATTATAAAACCTTAATGAAGGTGGTGAAAAGAAGATAGGGACAGTGTATTTTGATGTTGTTTTGTTATACCCTTTAACATAATACAAGTTATTGGTACATGCTTATAGTTGAACAATTTAAATAAAAATGTCAAATCTCATCTATCTATATTAATTAACCAACAACAAGTTTTGGCTCCCTATAACCCATCAATAAAAGTATTGGCTCCCTATGAAATATTAAAGAAGTGATTTAATAGCAACTTTATAGGTGGGGTGATGTTAAAAGAAGAAGAGGTTTTTGATAATTTGTGGACGGGGTTAAAGCTAGCTACCATACCTAAATAAGATTGATGGGGCTTATTTTGTGGGTTACCAACCAATTAATTATGATGAGTTAGCAACTTCTATATAGGGATATATTTTGTAAAAGAAAAAAAAAACAACTTTTTTTTTTATAAATCAGACAACTCTGCGCATAATTAAATAGACAAATTTTTTTGACCCGAATAAAATTATAATAGATGGCAAAATTCTTATTAAAGAGATTCAATAATAAAATATTTCTGCGCGTAACTATATAGACTAATTATTTGAGCTAGATAGAATCACAATAAAAAGTAAAACTTTCACTCAAAATTTAACATTAGTGCATGTTTAATACTAAAACATTCCTGTGCGCACCTGCAGTGACTAATTCGTCTTTTCAAACCAATGACCTTTAATTCTTGAAACTTTGATTTAAGGAAAAATGAAAACAAATATTTCTGAATGCAATAACATTAAACCAAGAACTCACGAGCATTCTCACTTCCTTCACAGAAAAAACAGATATCACATCACCCACCTCGCCAACTCACCACCATCACACACCTCCCATTTCACAAACTGTACTTGCCATGACCTGTTCAAATATCTGCATTCATCACCAATTTCACGAGCCTATTTAACACACTTTCTCTCATCTCTTTCCCACAAAACCTCTCATTTAACATTTCCACATTTACTCAAACATCAAAAACTCATAAAACAATCTTCCATGTCTACTAAACATCTCATAGCCCTTCTAGCTCTTTCCTTTCTCCTTTCACTAAACTCTCTACACACCATCATGGCTGCAAGGATCATTCCTAGTAGTGCTCCTAGTACTGTCACAAGGCCTCTTTTTTCATCCGAAGCTGAAAATTACTTGAAGCCTCGTTTGGATCATACGCAAAGATTCTTTCAAGGGAGACAAGTTAAGAATTGTTTGCCAAAAGGGTATAGGCATAACTCAGCTCCAAGCAGATTTGTTAACTATGATACATTAGGTGGATGTTCTGGAATCCGTTCGGAGAAACCATGAAACATGTTTGGATGAATGGGAGAGATTCTATTATTTTTTATATGGTTGTTTTTAATATATGGTGGATGTTATATATAAGAAAATTTTATTTTTTGCTTTGTTTTGTTTTTTGTGATTTGATATATTATTACCTATAACAATTTTGAGAGATGAGGATACCTTTTTCAGGTATATGTGTGTATTTTTTTGGTCAAATTTATATTTCAATTATAGTACAAAATATGTTGTAATGATGTCATTTATCTCGCCCTTCCTACTTGTTGTTGGGATGGCTCCAACGGTCATGATAAACTATTATATAAATAAATATGTCATTTGAATTCTTAAACAATCGACTTTTCAATATTTAATAGGTGAAAAATAAAACTCAAATTTATCACAAATAAGTTTGGGTATTTCAGTCCTGCCACCATTTATTTAATAAAATTAATTTTTTAAATAGTTATATTTTTTAAAATAAAATTATATTTAAAATAATAAAATAATACAATCTCAAAAAATTTCATATATACATTTTAAATATTTTAAATAATAAATATGATTTATAATATCAAAACATTGATATATATTTAATATTTTAAATTATCATAAATAAATAATAAAATAGATAATAAAATAAAGACAAAATACCATTTTTCTTTCTTAACTATGCCCTTGAATTTAGATTGGTCCTTTAAATTATTTTTTTGGGTCAGATTGATCCCTTAACTCTTAAAATGTGTCATGTTAGTCCTTTTTATCTAATTAGCAACTAAAAAATTCAAAAATCGGTGCTAAATTCGTCGCTAAAGTACCAAAAGAACTAACATGACACGTTTTAAGAATTAAGGGATCAATCTGACACAAAAAAAAATTAAGGGACTAAAAATGATATTTTGTCTAAAATAAATGGGATGGATTCGAGGACGGATTCGGGATAGCTACTAATGTCTTCATTATCTAACTCATCCCTATTTTTTATAATCAAGGAAAATTCAAACTCAAATTCAAATCCAACTTAAATGGATTTTTTCATCAAATTGGAGACGAGTTCGGATGAATAGCCATGAATCCGGATTATTAGACATAACTGTCGATGAAGCATGTAACTTTTGCAGCAAGAATTAATTTTGTTAAATGGAACCATTGCTTTGATTTCTTTATATATATATATATATATATATATATATATATATATATATATATATATATATATATATATATATATATATATATATATATATATATATATATATATATATATATATATATATATATATATATATATATATATATATATATAACCATTTAATATGAATCAACTCACTTTTATGGTTATCTCTAACCCAAATTATCTAATTAAATTTAAATTTTATTTTCTTTAAATTAATATCAATTTTTAAATTTAAATACTTAAATAATTAACATATATAATTAAGGATAAATATATTTTGTCAAATAACATAAAATTTGGAACAATTGAGTTTCAACTTTTTACAAATACGGTACGGTATAACTTTTCCTTGATATTGTTAAAAAAAAATAGAAATTATATTGTGGTTGGGTCTAACTCAACCCTACAAAGTTGGTTGGTAAGGTGATGATTGCCTCCACTTATAAAGACATGTTCATGCAATATATTATCTGATGTGAGACTCTTAACACATCCCCTCACGCTCAGGACTAAGCAACTGGAACATGGAAATAAATGGTGGGTGACGCGATAGCGGAAACCATAGAAGATGACCTACCGGATCTTAAACCATAGATGATGATTGCCTCCGAGGGAGCTCAATCCCTCTCCTCCCCGTGGTCGTTCGCCTGGTGGGGGATGGATATCCTCGGTCTGTTCACCTTAGGCTCATATCAGAAGAAGTACCTGATAGTGGGCGTCAACTATTTCACCAAGTGGATCGAGGCCGAAGCCCTCGTCAAAATCACGGCACACAACATACTCTGGTTCTACAAAAGGAACATCCTCGCCAGGTTCGGCATCCCGCTCGCCATAGTCACCGACAACGGGACACAGTTCACCGACATAAACTTCCGGGACATTGTCACCAACTCGGGATAAAACACCACTTTACCTCGGTCGAGCACCCTCAAAAAAACGGCCAAGTCGAGACCGCGAACAGAGTAATCCTCTAGGGATTAAAATGAAGGCTCGGTGACGTCAAACGAGGATGGGTCGAGGAGCTCCACAGCGTGCTGTGGGCGTACCGAACAATGCCTCGCTCGACCACCGGGGAAACCCCATTCCGCCTCACGTACGGAACCGAGGCAGTGATCCCAATCGAGATCAGGGAGCCGTCCAGAAATACTAAGGCATCCCTCGAAGAGGAAACCAACGGCGAAGCTCTCCGGGAGGAGCTCGACCTAGTCGAGGAGATCCGATCAGGAGCGGCTCTCCGCGAAGTCAGGCTAAAACAAAAGATAGACCTTCGCTTCAACATTAAAGTCCTAAAGCGCGATTTCCAGGTCGGTGACCTGGTCTTACGAAGAAACAAGAAGGACTAGCACGAGGGAAAACTTGCCGCAAATTGGGAAGGCCCCTATTGTGTTCGGGACAAGACAGAACATGGGGCCTATTACCTCAAAAACCTACACGGGGACCAACTAGCTCGACCATGGAACGCTGAGAAGCTGAAAAAATACAACAGTTAAACACTGCTCGCGACGACCAGCGTCGCGACCACAGGAGCGCGACACGGTACCATCGCGTCTCCTTGAAGCCAACAAAATAGCAAGTTGCTGCCTTTGTGTGCACAGGCAGAAGGTCTGTTCGATGGAGAACCCCTTGATCGAGACTCCCCACCGTTGTACCATGCTCGGTAGAACACCCAGCTCGCGATGGGACGTTCACGCCGCGGGGATAAACATCCCCTTTACCGACCAGGTAACCACACCGGTCACCCGGCCAGTTCCCTACACTACCGGACACAAGTATCATCGAGCTACTACCCCCAAACTACGAGACAACATAGTAAACATACATTTCAAGCATACAGACGTGCAGAAATAAAACAGGCATATCATCATGCAAACACAAACGAGCGCACACTTAGACAAAACAAAATATTGTATTATAAAAGGGGGGCACCAGCCCGGTAGTCAGAGTACAACGTATAAAGGCACGTAGACCCAACAAAAATACTTAGTAGAAAAACAACAAAAGTTGGCACGCAGGCCCGGAAACTACGAGCACGCAGGCCCGGAACAAATCTACATATCTTCAGAAACTCCCACCTCGGGCTCATCTACGGGGCGGAGTTACCAGCAGCTTCATAATCGGGCTCGACCACCCGTCCATCAACTATCTGATGGAAAGGCCTGATCTTGTCTACGACCAAGCTAACCTCATGATTAACCACCTTGAGTTGGTCGACAGCACTGGAAAAACCTACCCCGACTGCCTCCAGACAGTCATTCTCCAACTCTCGGATCCTCCCCAGCAGATCTGCACGAGTGACCATGAGCTTGTCCTCGTCAGTCTCATCATCGGTAGGCTGGAGTGAACCTTTCAGCTCCCCCACACGAGCCTTTAGCACCTGCAACTCCGCCTCCGCGACCTTCAATGTCTTCTCAGCACTTTCTCCTCTCTTGCGTTACACGGCAACATCTCCCCGAATCTTCTCCAACTCCTCGGCCATCTTGGTCAACCTTGACTGCGCAAAAGCAAGATCGTCATGCAGCTTGGCCAGCTCGGTAGTGGAACAACTCTCTTAGCTCAGAACCAAGGCCGTCGAGAAGACTCGTATCATGGAAGCAAGATCCTCGGTCGAAACCTGCCTCCGCGCTGCCTGATCCTCAATGAGAACCGCCTTTGCCTCCCCGACGGGCACAGCTGGCGACCTGGCACCATGGAAAAAGTCGGGATGCTGATGAAACTGAGGGATTAGGAACCCCTTCTTAGCAAACCCTTTCGTCAAGTCGACGACACTCTCAGGCGTTTGAATCTTGGGCCGCTTGGCAGCCCCCTGAGACAGCGGGGAATGGCTGCTCTTAGGCGACGATGAAGAACCTCTTCCTCCCTGGTCAACTGCAGCTTTCCCGACCACCTGGGAAACCGAGCGTCTTTCCAGCGGTAACCGTGGCCCTTGAGGCAGCCAACTTCTTCACTCTCTCCTCGACAGAAGACATATTCCCTGCAAAAAGAAAGAAAGAAAGAAGTCAGCAAACAAATGAAAAATTGTGAAGTCAAGGGAATGGGGTCGACCACTACCTAGGTAAATAAGGGCCTCCTCTTCCAACGAACACTCGAGCAGAGCCTTCGTACTGATCAACCTCTTCCTCTGGCAAACACGCCCCTGACTATCATGGACATATCTACCGTCGGGCGTCACCAGGTTCGACAGGGGCAGGATGGCCATGAACGAGACTATCTTTTGGTAACCGGCCAGATCCTTCTCGTCCAGGGTCCTCGCCCGCACTATGTATGGTCGGTACCCTTCTTGAAATGTTCCTCTGTCCACTCCAAGGGCACCTTCGGTACCAAGACAGCCTCCTGCTCCCTGTTCACTACCCTCTCCTCTCTCCTATACAACAAGGAACACGCCCCGTGGGACACCGGTCGAATGACGAAGAAGCGTGCTTTAAAATATCAGATGGAGTCCATATAAGTCCGAAAGAGCTTCCTTGGTTGTTTCAAAGAGACCCATCCATGTCGACTGTCCACAGTCTGCCTCTGCAGATGAAAAAGGCGGAAGAAAAGCGGCATCGTGTCCCCGACCTCCAGGTGTCTACAAACGAGCTCGAATACCCGGATGAATGCTACAGTGTTGGGATGCAGTTACGAGGGGGCTAACCTCAACCAATCAAAAACCCTCAACTGGAAGTCCATGAACGGTAGCTTGAGCCCGGCCTCCCAAAAACAGAACTCATACACGGGGAACCGCATTTTTCCGAATGCCAAGCAGATGCGACGTTATTCAAGGAGGAAACCTCAACTTCTAATGCAAAGATAAAATAAAAAGAACACACAAGTAAGGGAGGATCACCTCAACCTTCAATGTAAACAATCA